ACTGATTCAATGGCCCCTTCGGTCCTGCGCCCTGTACTGTGTCTGCTTTGGGCTTGGGACCGGGGAAAATGTTACAAGCTGCCTGCCTAGTAGACCCATGAGCTGTTTCCGCTCTGGAGGGCCTGCCAAGAAGCAGGTGGCAGGTCCCCCTCCCATTCTGGGCCAAGCTCTTATCTCTGCTGAGAAATTCCCTTCCCCGAAGGGCTTCAGCTTTTGAAACACACAAACCAGCTTTTCTGCTCTTGGGTCAGCCATATGCATCCCCAGGGGCAATAAGCACAGAAAAGCAGGAAAACATAGGAAAGAACCAACCAGATTAACACAGAAATACATTATATGTTTGGAAAAAATCATGCTGTCCACCATGCGGGGAAATGACTAGAAAGGCCAAAATGGACAACAAGTCCACTGGGGAGTTGGGCACCCCAGGGGGAGAGATGGGGCCGAGGTGTTGGACAGGAGAGGGTGGATACCACAGCCATTCGGAAGATTAAAATCAGTAGGAACTTGGTGAGGGATGGGGTGGGGGTGGGGGAGGTAAGGAAGAAGGAGGCATCTGGAATGACTCCTAAGAGTCTGCCTTGGGAGGGGGATGGCTCTCCCATTGCACAGAATGTTCCCACCTCCTCCACCGTAAGCACTTTGCCCAGCCCCCCCTCCTACTCATCCTTTAGACCTCCATTCAAGCCTCGCTTCTACAGAGCCACCCTACCTCACCCCAGGGCCAGCTGGATTCTTGGATTTTATGTTTCTTCCTTTGAATATTTACTGGGTGTGCGATGACACATACATTAGTGTCTCCCCCCCCCCCAAGACTGTCAGGCTGTGAGCGGATCCGGGCTCATCCTTGCAACCCCAGTGCCCAGCACATAGTAGGTGCTCAATAAATAAAGGCTCTGAAACGCAGGCAGAGGAGGATGGAGTGTATCCTGCAGGCTGGTGTTTCTCCAGGGGAGTGGAGGCTGCTGGGTAAAAAAAATACATAGACCCCCTCTGCCACCTCTACTCTTCACTCTCCTCACTTTGTGCTTGTGATGAGAGTGTTACTAGGGGTACAGTGTGCAAATGAGTCTGGAAGTAGGAGAAAAGTTGATAAGATTGCAGTTAGCAGGACCCGTGGGCGTTTCTGGAAGGGAGAAGAGAGTAGATGAAAGCAGGCATGAAGGTCTGTGGGCCTGGCGGGAAGCTCAGAGAGGACAGGGTGCAGGAGGGGCCCGGAGGTGGCGGAGAGGGCCCCCAGGGGTGTTCGGACACTAGAGCTACAGGATGATCCTGAGCAGTCCCCACCTTCTATCCGTGGCCCGAGGGGCCTTCCCAGCCTGGTCTGAAGGAAATAAACACTCTGCTCCAACCACTGGTGAGCAGCCCCTGAGTTTGCTGTTTTGCTCATGGCTGTGTCTGGAAAGGTGTCTGTGTCTAGAAAAGCCCATAGTAGAGGCTCCAAAGTATCTGTTATTATTGAAGGAAGGAAGGAAAAAGTGAATGTTCTCAAAGGGCTTGGTAAGTCTAGGGGAGGCACCGGGATTACCAGGCTCCTGTGGGAAAGGCTGCTGTGAGTATTAAACAAGATCCTGTTTTTAAAGAATGCAAGATCAAAATCTGAGAAGACAGAGCTGGGCCAGACCAGGAGGAAGCTGGGCAGGGAGTCACCTAGTGGCCGGCTCCCGCTCCCCCCACCCCTAGGCCAGCCCCTCGGGAAACCTCAAGGGGTCCTCCGGGAGCGCCGCCCCAGCAAGACCGACACCTTCGCCCCACCCGGCCGGCAGGCAAGAATTTGCCCCGCTGACCTCCCCAGGCGCGCTGCTGTCGCCATGGCGACCAACCTGGGAAACAAGCGGCCCGATTGTCCCTGCTCAGCGGGGCAGGTGAAACCCTGGCCACGTGACCGATACTGAGCCAGGTGCGGTGACTGGGACACCCGCCGCCTCCCCGCCTTAACCCCTTCAGCGCCGCCGCCCCCGGGGCGCCGGGTGCCTGCAAGCCGCAGGCCGCACCCCTTCGGGCCCCGGCTTCCCAGCCAGAAGGGAGGTGGCTAGATACCCGGAGCACTGCACTAGGAGTCACATTCCCGGGAAGGAATTCGGGCTGGGCCACGCACGTGCTGAGTGACTGGAGCTGGGTCATTCCCCTCCCGCGTCTCTATGTTCCCGGCAGTAAAATGTGGATGACAACACCCTCCCACTACCCCGGGACTTGCAGACGGCTGGGAAGGGACGCTGGGAGTAAAGACTCCCAGTGCAGTCTCATTCTGCACCCCTCTCCCCCCGCGTGACCGCAGCGTCTCAGGGACTCCGGAAGGCCTCCCCTCCAACAGCTGACACTCCCCCAAGAGGGACACCCTCACCAACAAACCAGTTAGGAGCTGGCCGGTTCCTATCAAGCTGCGGAAGGGTGGGCGGCCCCCAGGTTGACCCCTTCCCAACATTCCATCACCAGAGTCCTTCCCAGGTTGTGACAACCCCTCTCTCGCGGCCCCACCACTTTCTCTAGAGTGTTCAGTGGAAACCTCAAGCCAACTGGTTTTTCCGCTTGCCTCCAGGCCCTAACCAGCCATGTGATGGGGCCTGGGCCCAGGTCTCAGGAATGTCTCCGGACTGCTTCTGCCATAGACCCAGGGCTCTGGGCAGATGGTCAAGGGTTGTGGGCCAGGCTCAGGTTACCTGGCTAGACTGTAGGCTGGAGCAGCTGTGGGGGGTGGTTTGAAACCACTTTTGAAATACTACCCTTCTGAATCACCATCACGATGTCAACCCCCAGCCTCTTCATCTGCCAATTCTAGAAAAACACCCTGCTTGATGTCTCCTCTGAGGACCCCTCCCATGCCTTGGATCGGCTCCCATTCTGGGCTCAGATGTCCTCATCACTCCCCTAATGACTATGCTGGTAACAAATCACCACACCACCTGGTGTGTTTAGCGTCCCCAGTGACCTTAAAGCCCTTCTTTCATTAGAACAAAACAACTGCCAGTCCCCAAGCTGACTCAAGGTGAAGGCCATTTTATGGGGCAAGGGATTTATTACATCTTAGAGTTAAGATGCATCCTACCAGGGGAGCCTGGATGGCTCAGTCAGTTAAGCATCAGATTTCAGCTCGGGTCATTATCTCACCATTCATGGGTTCGAGCTCTGCATCAGGCTCTGTGGGGACAGCTCAGAGCCTGGGACCTGCTTCAGATTCTGTGTCTCCCTCTCTCTCTGCCCCACTCACACTCTGTGTCTCTCTCAAAAACAAGTAAAGATTTTTTAAAAATTAAAAAAAAAAAAAAAAAAAAAGATGCTCCTACTGGTCCTGACTCCCATCAGGCCTGCCCTAAAGAGTGAGAGTCCTGGCTGGACCAGATGTCATCTCTGGAAGGGGCACTGACCCAGCCACCAGGTGAACCTTCACCTAAGCCTCAGCTAGTGCCCTGAATCTCTTCACGATCATTCGGTAAAATGATTACAATTGCACTTTGCACCAGATAAACAACACAGGACTCTGGTCCTCCAGAACTCCCAGCCTATGGGGACACAGAGAAAGCCAGTTCTAGAATACCATATGGTAGACTGACAAATGCTTTGAGAACATAGGATAGAAGAGATTAGTGTCAACCGGGGAAATCTGGGAAGGCTTTTGAGGAGGTGGCAGTTATCCTGGACATTTACAGTTGTACAGGACTTGGGCCACTAGCTATCTAGAAGGCAGCCACCCATCTCAGCAGAGGGAGTCTTCGGGATAAAGACCAAAAGGAAGGTGTGCAATGTAGATCTCTGATTGGGGAGTAAGAGAAGAGGAAGCATGGGTGGAAAAGCAGGTAGGATCAGACTGGGGGACGCTAGGGATGCTGTTTCAACTCTCAAGTTTAAGGGTGGGGAGTCCCTAAAGGTTTCTGAGCAGAAGAATGCTGTAAAAGGAGCAGCGGGCTGAGACCTGAGACCATAGCACCACTGCCACCACTGCCCCAGACTGGGGAGAGAAGATGGCAGCCAGTCAGGCTTCCAAAGGGAGGCTTTAATGTGCGGGATGTGCTGAGTTCAAGGGTGGGAGAATCGTTTATTTCTCTGCTGGTAAAGAGGCGTGAGGTCTGACCCATTTCAGCTCAACGAAGCAAACACCCTCCAGTACAAACACCTGGCTTCCCACCTTGATTCGCATCAAGAATGGCAGATAGATAGATAGATAGATAGATAGATAGATAGATAGATAGATAGAAAGAATGGCAGACCAGACAGCGGTTCTGGTTCTGCCTCTTGTACAAGCCATTTGCCCCAGTTTCCCCATCTCTAAAGGGTGGGCATGGAGGGTGGATGGAGATGAGCTCTCTAGAGTTTCCCCTAGCTCTTTCTAGAGTCCAGGACTTCGGGATGGGAAAGAGGTGCACCACCCGGCCTGCCTGGGCCCCCAGCTGTGGAGCATGACGCCTCCAAGCTGGCGCCTCGACGACTGGAGCCACTTTTGGCGTCTCTCCGCGCCCGCCTGCGGCACAGAAAGCATGGCACCCACCCAAGGCGGGGCGTGAGGGCAGAGGAGCAGGCCAGGTGTGGGGCGCGCGCTGGCCAAAGGCAGGGGCTCCTCGGCTTGCCGAGGACCCGTCCCGCGGCCGCCCAGGGCTCCCGCCCCAAATCCAGGACATTCCAAACGGCGGGCTTTGGACTCTCACGCCACAGGACCCTGACTCTCCGCGAGGACTCGGCGCCTGGGGCGGGAGGGCGTTGGGCGGTGCTTCTTGAGGGGCGTGACCAAGGCATACGGTGGCTCCGCCTGGGGCGTGGCGAGGGCGGCTCTCTGGCCCGCCGGCGCGGTGGCTGAGGGGATTACGTAATGACGCAAGAGGAGGAGCTGCGGGAACAGACGGTACTCTGGGATTACGTAAGGAAACGAAAAAGGGGGCGGGGAACTCCGCGGTAGTGGGCGGGATGGAAGGCGGAGCTGCAGTCGGAACTGGACAGGGCTCTGAGCGAAGGCGGGAGGCGGAGCCAGGGGATAGGAAGAGCTGCGCGCCTGGTAGCTGTTCCCGGGCATGCTCCGCTGGGCCCGCGCCTGGAGGCTCCCCCTTAGGGGGCTCGGCCCCTCCAGTCTCAGCGCCTCCAGGGTGCCCTTCGCACCCAGCAGCGGTGGTCGAAGCGGCACCGAGAGGAGGTCAGTCAAGGGCGCCATGTGGGAGGCCGTCCATCGCTCCTCCTCGTTCAGTTCGGCTCCGCCTCCTCCGCTTACGCCCGCCCCCCAGGCCGCTCCCCTAAACCCCTTCCCGAGCCAGCTTAGACCCCTCCTCCATCCTTGCTCCTCCCTCCAGGTCGGTGCTGCTTTCCTACAAACTTCTGGACGGAGAGGCGGCCCGCCCGGCCCTCGTGTTTCTGCACGGGCTCTTCGGCTCCAAAACCAACTTCAACTCCATTGCTAAGGCCCTGGCCCAGCAGACTGGCCGGAGGGTGAGCTTCCGGGAGAGGCGGGGTCCCCGGGAGGTGGGACCTGGCTGGGCGGGGCTAGGGAGATGGCCAAGGCGCGCCCCGCTTTTCCGCCCTCACTACTGGACACCCGGCGAGGAGTGGCCGGTCTCTCTAAGCAGAAATGAAGAGGTTGACCTTCTAAGGATGCAGGCCACATGGCACACCGTGGCCCTATGTGGATCCATTCATTCCGTCGTGCCTGCATCCATCCAGTCCTTCATTCGTGTTAATAGATCTTCAAGCTAGGCTCGCTGTCCAGTGCCTAAGTGCTAACACCTCCCTGGTAAGGGGACCAGCCCTGTTTGTTCACCAGGGTTGATGGGGCTTACCACCTTTTACAGCAGCCCATCCTTCTGTGCTCCAACTGTTTCCCCTTCAATATCTTTCCCCAGGCTCCCTACCCGCCCCCCACCCCCTCAGCCTTCAGGAATGCCGTGCCTTCTCTATGCCCTGAATGTGGATGCCAGCTCTTCCCACCCTCACTCCGGTCCGCAGGTGCTAACAGTGGATGCTCGGAACCATGGTGACAGCCCCCACAGCCCAGACATGAGCTACGAGGCCATGAGCCAAGACGTGCAGGATCTCCTGACCCAGCTGGGCCTAGTGCCCTGTGTCCTCGTTGGCCACAGCATGGGAGGCAGGACAGCCATGCTGCTGGCACTCCAGAGGGTGAGCTGTCCCTATACAGGGCTTCTTCCCATCCAGTGTAGACCATGAGTGCCCAGCAGGCGACCTGGGACTCAACTGAGCCTTGGACGGCCAAATTCAGGATCTGGCAACTATGCCTGAGACCCACTGTGTCTGCCCTAAGGCTGGTCCCAAGTTTGGTTCTTTCACCCAGCCAGAGCTGGTGGAACGCCTGATTGCTGTGGACATCAGCCCAGTGGAGACCACATCCAACTCAGACTTCCCATCCTACATGGCAGCCATGAGGGCTGTAGACGTCCCAGATGACATGTCTCGCTCCTCTGCCCGAAAACTGGCCGATCAGCAGCTCAGCACTGTTATCCAAGTAATGTATCCATGTCCCGGCTGGTGTTGTGGGCTGGGACCTGTCCAGGGAAGAGTGGCAGCACCCCAGGCCTCACACGGAGGTTCCCCCGCCCCCCACACCCAACTACTGGACCCCTACAGGACACGGCCGTGCGTCAGTTCCTGCTCACCAACCTGGTGGAGGTGGATGGGCGCTTCGTCTGGAGGGTGAACTTGGAAGCATTGGCCCAGCACGTGGACAAGATCTTGGCTTTCCCACCACGACAAGAATCTTACCCTGGGCCAACCCTCTTCCTCCTGGGTGGAAACTCTCAATATGTGCAGTAAGCCAGACTGGGTGGCGGGAGGGGCATGCCCCACTTACCCAGGCCCCAGCCTGGGGATCCTGCCTTGGGGAGGGCTTCGGTGCGGGCAGGGGGTGCCTGAGAGTTCTCAAATACCACTGGCATGTGTGTTCATGTGGCTCTCTCCTCCCTGCTTTGCCTCCACTTCTCTCTCCCCCCCATCTGGGCGGCCTCCTCTTCGACGGACAGTCCCAGCCACCATTCTGAGATCAGGCGGCTCTTCCCTCAAGCCCAGATGCAGACTGTGCCCAATGCTGGCCACTGGATCCATGCTGACTGCCCACAGGACTTCATGGCTGCCATCCGAGGCTTCCTAGCCTAAGAGTTGCTGGCAAGACGAGGCAGGAAGCCCCAGGCTTCAAGGCCCTGCAGCCTGTTCCACGTTTCCGCACAAAAGGACTCAGGCACTGAGAGGTCACGAGGGTGCAAAGGGTCAGACCTCAAGTTTTAATGAATAAAGACACTGCTCCCAAGCCCCTGGGCTGAGCTCTGTCACCGCCAGCGTCCCCACTGACCCAGGAGGAATCGGACCCAGGGAGCCCTGGCAGTTCTGGGGGTCACCGGGGCTCCCTGAGGGCCCCTGGACTCTCTCTGCAGCTGACTCTCGACCTGCTGTCTCACCAGTAGCCGCATGTCCTCCTGGGGGGCAGGAGAGCAGGTTCAGGGCCGACCCTGTGCCTCTTCCCATGCCTCCCAGGCCCGGCTGGCATTCCCACCCTACCTCCCAGGCCTCCACCTCCTGCCTCAGCCTCAGTTTCTCCTCCAGGACCTCCAGCAGCTGGGCCTCCACAGCTCGCAACTTGGCTTTGCATGTGTCCAGCTCAGCCTCCACTGCCTGCTTCCTGCAGGCGGCAGGGAGAACAGCTTGAGCTTGAACCCTACAGATCTGCTTCTGGGCCCTGAGGG